TCACAATAAATAATAATAATAAGGAACTTCTAATAATATAATCCTTGACATGATTGCACGTTAATTTGTAATTGGGCATCGAATCGCAAATTCATACAATAAATATATCTCCTTGTTTTTAATTGGATGAAATGCACGGTTTCGCTATAAATGAGTTGCCAAGAACTTTATGTTGAAAATGATCATTTATTTCATAACAACAAATATAAATAATAATATAAAAATGTTACACTAACAATCTAAAAATAAAAAAGCCATCATTTTATTTGAAAATAAAAAAAAATTTCTCATAAGATTTCCTAAAAGCGAATAATATTAATAATAATAGAGTAAAAATATAATTACTCCATAGTTTCGTATAAACAAATGACTCGATCTTTTGATGAATCCCAAGTGAAAATATTTTGCTCGGGTATCCATGTTTTTTTTTTTGAAGAGGTGAGCTCAGCATTTTTGTTTTTTATGTTTGAAAAAAATCTTACCCGGTTTGAGGAAAATAATAAATAAATTATTAAAAAAAAAATTATCCAAAAATATTCTTAAAGAAAATTCATAAAAATGCATAAAGATTAAAAATAAAAACTGGTTAAAATAATATATAGGTATAGTTCCATAAACTCTATTTTGGTACTGATAAAACACCGGAAATTTCGTGTAACATCGGGCCCACATGTTACTTATTATTATATTAATATTAATATATATTAATATACAAATAGAATATGTGGGGCTCATATCCAAAAATAGCCTTCCCAAAAGGATATTCAAGATCAAGCTAATTTATTATTACTATATTTAGAAGGCACAAACATCAGATGCTTACGATCATCCGAGATTTACATTTGTACCACTATATATATTTTAGTCCATTTTTGGGGAACCAATTTTTATGACTACGTTTTTTCTATATAGAGTTTCCCAATATCAATTACTTTTCATAATAAACCAATTACTTTTTTTTTATATACGGAAATCGGGATCGCAAGTAATGAGTTGAAGAAAATGTGATTTTGTGGTTTGTTTAAATTATTTTTTAATGATTTTTTTTAAAAAAATAACCAAGGAAATGAAGATAAACAAATAGTTTAAATCAACATGAGGTAGAAGGAATGTTTAAAGGATATTTGTGTTAATCAGAATGTTTTCATGCTTCAGAATATTGTTTATTAAAATTTAAAAAATCTTTAATCTTTAATATTTTACCTTAAATCAATAGAGGTTTAACGAAAAAATCATCAACTATTCCATGTAGCGAAGATCACATTCAAATATATTTACTGCCAGGCGTTTTTATCTGTTATTTACTGGAGAAGAGGGTGATGAGAAATTAAGAAATTTACTTGGTGAAAAAGATTGGGTGGGGCGATTAGATATTATGACAATAATCAGTATGTCTATTAATAATTATTGATTTTTTAATAGGTAAAGGAAGTAATAGTTTTATTTATTTATTTAATGTTTTTTATTATTTATTATATTTAATGTTTTAATTGAAATTAATATATTATTATTTTATATACAATTACAAAAAGATATATATTTATAATTATTGTTTTAATATTTTTACTAATTTGGTTATAATCATAATATATTTGTTTGTAAATGTTTTTTTTTTCAACATGAATGTCTTTATTCCAAAATTATGGTGAACCTTCTAATTCTGTATAACGAGTCGTAAATACATCATCATTCAATTTCAATCATGATAAAATCTTCAAACATGCAAATTTTTTTTTACAATCAAAACAAAATCGTAATACCTTTTATGTCAATAAAATAATGGTGGATTTGTCAGGAATTTTTTTTTACAACGCAAAATTAGAGTTTTTAAATATGATCCCCATATTTTTGTTTTCCCCCAAAATGTTGCACAAATCGGTGGATATGTGATCTTGAATATCCTTTTTGGGAAGGCTATTTTTGGATCATTGTTTATAGTAATACATTTTTTGCCGAATTACACGAATTGTCCTTCTTGTAAGGTTCCTCCTGGTAAGTCAGCAAGCATTTTGACTTGTTTCTCCTGAGAAGTTGGAGACTTTGGTTCTTCTTTGGTCTAGAATTGATGAAGTAATTGAAAATTAGCCCAAAAAACTTGAAACATTTGGAATTTTAGCAGATAGTATGTAATATATTTATTGAGCGTTGAACAATTTAAAGTTTTTTTTTTGAAAAGAATCCCACTTTTATATAATGAATTACTATGATGGTGTTTATTTGGTATAATCTATCACAATCATATTTATTGAAAAACGTAATAAATAAATTATCATCATTTAGAGTTAATAATTTACTACTTTGCAATAATATTATTTTTGATTATTTTTAGTAGATTTTCCCTAACCATAATCTCTCATGGGTAGGCACGTATTGAGAATTTGAATTCAAGGATCAAGCATTTATTGAATCATAAAATAACAAGAGTAGTTCTAAGAATAAAATCTACAGTTGTAAATTAAAAAACAAAAGTTGTTAAATTACATTGGTAATACAAATATTCATTTTGTCTGGTTTTGTTGCAGTATGCTCCATATTTGATTGATCCCTAATGAGATAACACAATAAGACTAACCTTTGCTTTTACAGGATAAAACTACTAATTTAGTTTCTGAGCCTGTGTTACATTGTATTTATTTTAACACCGATTCTTAACAAAATTTTTATAAAACATAAAAAAATTGACAAACTCTGAGATTGCAATTCCCGGATCCACAAGAAAATCCGTAATCTTGTGGATGAATGTCATAAAAGATTAGCAATATGGTTGTGTGGAAACCACCATATAGTTTTGCTCCCTGAATTTAAAACACAAGATATGGTTGAAAAATGCGGTTCTAGAAAAATCCACTCTAAAACAGCAATACAAATGTTGACCTGGTCACATTACCGTTTTCGCCAATGCTTGCTCCACAAATCCCGTGAGTACCCTTGGTTCAAGGTCATCATCTGCACTGATGAATACACATGTGAATTTTGTGGAGTCATCAAGTCAAATTTGGGCAGTTCAAAGATCTTTAATTGTACATCTTGCAAATCCACCATTAATAGAGATGTAAACAGAGCTCGAAATATACTTTTGAAGTATATTACAGAAAACAACAAGAGTCATTCACGACGTTGGGGCTTACACCCGAGACACCTTATTGTAGGCTGCCTATGTAGGACTTGTACTTAGTATAGGTTCAATGTAAGAGGTTAGTATTATTATTTTTTTTAAATGGTTTAACATAA